ACAATAATAATGTAACTTCTTCTTTTCCTATCTTTACCCCTTTTATTTCTCTCTTGTGTCTAATTGCTCTGGCTAGTACTTCCAGTACTATATTAAATAGGAGTGGTGATAAAGGACATCCTTGTCTTGTTCCTGATTTTAAAGTAAAGGCTTTCAATTTTTGGCCATTTAGTATGGTGTTGGCTGTTGGTTTGTCATAAATGGACTTTATTATATTGTGGTAAAGACGATTTATTCAAATTTTCTGTAAAGTTCTTGTCATGAATGAATGTTGGACCTTATCGAAGGCTTTTTCTGCATCTATAGAAATGATCATGTGATTCTTACTTTTGGCTTTATTGATATGGTGCATTACATTTGTTGATTTATGGATGTTGAACCATTCCTCTATTCCTGGAATGAATCCCACTTGGTCATGGTGCATAATGTTCTCAATGAGTTGCTGCATCCTATTTGCCAATATTTTATTGAAGATTTTTGCATCTGTGTTCATTAGGGAGATTCGTCTATAGTTCTCTTTTTTAGTTGGGTCTTTCTCAGGTTTTGGTACTAGAGTAATATTTGCTTCCAGGAATGACTTAGGAAGGATTGCTTCCCTTTCAATTTCATTGAATAGTTTGAGAAGCGTCAGCATTAAGTCTTCTTTGTATTTCTAGTAGAATTCTGCAGTGAATCTATGTGGGCCTGGGCTCTTCTTTGTAGATAAGGACTTGATTACATTTTCAGTTTCATTAATAGAAATTGGGTTATTCAGGAGTTTTACATCCTCTTGATCTAGCTTTGGTACTTCATATGTTTCTAGGAATCTGTCTATTTCTTATGTGTTATCAAACCTTTGACAGTAGAAATTTTTGAAATATGTGTTGATGATCTTCTGTATTTCTGTAGAGTCTGTAATGATTTCACCTTTTTCATTTCTTATTGCATGAATTTGAGCTTTTTTCCCTTTTTAAAATATAGTTGGCTAGGGGCTTATCGATTTTATTTATTCTTTCAAAGAACCAACTCTTTTTTTCGTTGATTCTTTGGATTGTTTTCTTGGTCTCTATTGCATTGATTTCTGCTCTCATTTTTATAATTTCTTCCCTTCTTTTGGCTTTGGGCTTGACTTACTCTTATTTTTCTAGCTATTTGAGGTGTAGCATCAGGTTATTTATTTGTGTTTGCTCTGTTTTCCTGATGTGGGAACTCAGTGAAATAAATTTTCCTCTGAGGATGGCTTTCATTGCATCCGACAGATTTCAGTAAGTTGGATCTGTGTTTTCATTTTCTTGTAGATATTCTTTAATTTCTTCTTTAATTTCCTCTGTGACCCACTAATTACTCGATAGTGTGTTATTCATTTTCCATGTGTTTGTGGGATTTTTGCAGTATCTCTTATCATTAATTTCTAATTTCAAAGCACTATGATCTGATAACATGCAAGGGATGATTTCAACTCTTTTGCATTTGTTTAAATATGTTCTGTGAGCTAATATATGGTCTATTTTAGAGAATAACCCATGTACTGCTGAGAAGAATGTGTATTCTGATGAAGTTTGGTGGAACATTCTGTATATGTCTATCAAGTCCAATTGTTCAGAGGTGTAATTCAGTTCTGTTATTTCTTTGCTTATTTTCTGTCTGGCTAATCTGTCCCTTGGTGTCAGTGTTGTGTTAAGGTCTCCTGTTACAATTGTTTTACTGATAATTTGAGTTTTCATTTCTGTTAATAGTTGTTTTATATAACTGGGTGCTCTGGAGTTTGGTGCATATATATTCAAGATAGTTTTCTCTTCCTCTTGGAGTTTTCCCCTAACGAGTATGTAATGACCTTCTTTGTCATTTATGATGGTTTAACGTTTACATTGTCTGCAAACAGAATGGCTTCTCCTGCTTTTTTTTTTTTTTTTTTTTTTTTTTTTTTTTTTGATTCCTGTTGTGTGAAGTATTGTTTTCCATCCTTTGACTTTCAGTTTGTGAGTATCCTTCTGGGTTAGATGAATTTCCTGTAAACAGCATATGGTTGGATTTTGTTTCCTGAGCAATTCTGCTAGTCTGTTTCTTTTGATTGGTGCATTAAGACCATTTACATTAATGGTTATAACTGTTATATGCTGGTTTATTGTTGAGATGTTATCTCCCCCTCTGTTCCATCTTTATCTTTCTGTTCTGTTTAATTATCTGCTCTCTTACTGCTTTTTTCCTTTGTGTATCTCAACTGTCTTTCAATAATTTTGCAGGGTTGTTTTAGTGTTCATGATGTTCATCAGCTGTTCTTTGTCATGGAAGTATCATATTTCACCATCAATTTTGAATGATAGTTTTGTAGGGTACATCATTGTAGGTTGGAAATCATTTTGCTTTTGGATCTGGAATACTTCACTCCATGCTCTTCTTGACTTTATTGTTTGTGCTGAGAAGTCTGCTGTGATTCTGATAGGTTTTCCTTTATAAGTGATCTGCCTTTCCTCTCTGACAGCTTTTAATAATCTATTCTTGTGTTGGATTTCTGGGATGTGATTATTATATGTCTGGGTGTAGTTTTATTTTGGTTATGACTATTTGGAGTTCTATAGGCTTCACTGAACCTGATGTCAGTTTCTGATCTCATGCTTGGGAAATTTTCAGCTATTAGTTCTCTGAATATCCTCTTGACATCCTTTATGTTGTCTCCTTCTTTTTCATTAATCCCTATCAATCTTATGTTGTGTTTCTTTGCATCATCTTGCAGTTGTTGAATTGTTGTTTCCTGATTCCTTGTTAGTTTTAAAAGATCTTTCCTTTCCTGTTCACTAGCTGCAATCCTGTCTTCCAAGGTCTGAAATTCTATCTTCACTTTCTTTGAGGCAGTTTTTATAGCTTTCAGTGGAGTTTTTTAATTTCCTGTATGTCTCTGTGCACCTGCTTTATATATTCTGTTTGTTTTTTATATTGCTCACCTAGGGATTCTATCTTTTTGTTTAGTTCCTCCAATTTTTTTAACTGTGTCTTCTTTATTCAGAATCTTTTTCATTTCTTTTATCATTTCTTCTTTTACCTGGGAGATTATTTCGAGTTTGAATTCCTTTAAAGTTTCCTGGATTTGTTTATTTCAGTAGCTATTATGTCCGATATTTGAGGTGTATGGCATATACTTTTTCTTCTATATACATCGCTCCTAGGGTTTCTTGAGATGGGCTGGAGGTTTGAGGTTGTAATTTGGTCTTTCGTTTTGTCGTTGTCCTATATTTCTGTGTTTCAAGTGTTATTTGAAAGCTTCCTCAGAGTCTGTTGGAAATCCACTTCTATGTTCGCAGCTCCTGGTACTCTGGCACCCCGCTTCCCCAGGCCGCTGGGACTCTGGAACCAGTAACCATCTTCTGCCTGTTTAGAACTCCATAGTTCCAGAGAAGCTGGGCTCCAAGAACACTGTGTGCCAGCCTGCTTGCTCAAAACTCCACAGTTCTCTGAGTGAAGCTGGAATGGGGAGGCAGATGTTGGTGCCTGGTGCCCACTTAGCCACTTCAGTGCGCCCAGAAGGCTCAAGGATCCCGAACAGTCAGGGCTTGGGGCAGAGTGCACTGGGCACTTACCGCAGGCCACAGGGCCTCTGGAACTGGTGATGCTTGCCTGCTTGGTCTTTATGAAGTATTCTTATAACTCTACTATTTAGCTTTTACATACTTAACCTCTAAGTCAAATCTATTTCCTCTTGTTTGATAGCCACTAAACTACTGGTGATGGCACAAGTCCAAGATCTAAACAAACTTCCACATTCACAGCTCATTGAGAAATCCTCAAAGGAGAAGCTCAGCTACTTTGAACTCTTACATGAGATAAGGCAAGAGTTCCTTGGTCCCCACATAGGTAGGGCCAGTGCCCCTACTCAGCAGGGAGGAGCCATGGAGAATGGAGTCTAATCCTTCAGCATTTCTCAGAGATTTTGGGGGACCAGGTATCTCAGAGAAAAACAGTATAGTATAGGTAAGGTCCTCAGAGACCATTTCCCTAGACTCTCTTGAGCTAGGCAAAACCCCAAGACCAATCCTTCTTCCGTTATTGGTAATTTAAACAGATTGAACATTGGAATATACATACATGTGGAAAGCCCCAGATGCAGGATAAACGAGAATTCTGTTAATCATTCCTATCTATCTTACCTAGAAACCCATCTATCTATTTATCTATCTTATCTAGAAACTCTGTATATCTTACCTAGAAACCTAGCCCTTGAAAGACACCTGTGCTGGGAGCTCTTCTTTAAAGAAAAATTTCAAAAGCCTGATTTAACTGGTTGTATGTGCTTTTTTACTTCCTTGTCATCCTTTCACCAATTTTAATGTTCGTGCCACATTTTATTCAGCACAGATATAGCCTGCGCACTATTTCACAAGATCTTCAATAATGTAGCTGCTATCCTTTCCCCATTGGCTGTGCACCTGCAACTCTTTGCTTGCTATACATGACAGCCCGGAATCAATCTGTTAGATCCATTCCATGGTATCAGGACACTTTCAAGATTACAAATCAAGTGTGTATCAGATTATCTAAACCCAACTGGTCAGGTGATGGTTCATTTTTCTGTCTTTTCTAAAAAGAAAACAACATTACCTTCTATGTGAAAAGTCTTTATTCAGTAATATCTATTAATGCATGATTTTCATTTTGTGAAATTAGAGATTAATACTATTTAACTGAAGGAACAATCCATAAAGGTACAGCTAACTGCTATACAATCAAGAAAATAAAATCTTCAAGAATCTGACAGATATACATTTTTCTGTATATACTTCAGAATCATAAATGGAGCTAGATACAATGTTAACTGCATAAGCAGAAATAATATATTCAGATAATCAGGACTCTCACTTTAGCAACCAATTTTAATGTTTTATAAGAAGAGCAGGCATATAAGAAAAGGGAATTAAAGTGGCAGCATCCTGAAATTTGTGGCATGGAAATGATACTTGGAACTATATATAATGTTCCAAGTCATAATTTCATTAACTTAGCTGATAAGTAGATATTAAAATACCTACATCTTTTAAAGTGATAATATTGAGGTGTTACCCATAGCACATCAGAATTTCAATTTCTTCTGAAGGATCTCGTTTACTTTTGTCAATGATCTAAGATATAGACAAAGATCAAAATTTTATATTTTTGTCCAAAAATTAAATATTTTTTCAATTTGATACACTTTTAAACAAATACTTAAAAATTCAAGAAGAATCTTTAGCTCATTATTTTAACAAGTTTCCAATATCTGGAAGTAGGAAAAATATGTTTAAATGGGAAGGGAACAAGAGAAGGGAAAAGAGAAGGCAAAGAAGGGAAAAAGAATTTTTAAAAAAAGAATGAAAAGGAAAATGGGGGAAAAAAAGCTTTTGTAAACGGGAGAGGAACAAAAGTTGACAGGAGAGAAGTGGAATGGGGAAAAAAGAACAATTAAGTTATATTATGTACAGGTAAAAATTCCTTATGAGAAATGTGATCATTATGTATTGCAAACATGTATTAATAAATGTATATTTTCAATATCATGATCTTAACAAAAAATAAATGAAACACTCTCCTTAGTATCATATTCAGTTTATTTAAGAACCCACTGAGTGACACTATTTCAAACATGAGTACAATTCCAAAAGTTATTCAATTTTACCATACACTATTACATTACAATAAAGCTCTTCAAAAGTAAAAGATTCATGAAATATCCTTTTCTTCCACAACAAAACTTTATGAAAAAATCCATCAGGATAATAAAAGTCTCAAAGTTCATTCCTATCATCTTTACTTTCTTCACTTGATGTGAGAAAATGATCATTGAGTGGCAATTTAAATTATATACATCAAAGATTTTATGTTCAAAGACAATACCTTTACTGCAAATTTCATGTTGGTAGATGTATGGATGCATTGCTTACAAACAGAGTAAGAACCAACACCAATATCCTTTTTCAATTCATATACTTCACCAAATTGTGCAGCATTTCAATTGACCTGCTTTTTAAAAGACAAAGTTTTAAAGAGAATGAGGTATTTTCATATTTTGTCTTTGGTCTTAAATATAGACTCATGGTAAATAGTTTAAAAATCAAGAATAACTATCCTCATGAAGATTTGCCACTACATACAAAGTCCTTATGCAGAATTTAAACTAACTCTAAACAAATTATAGGTTTTGTACGTTTGCAAATTAGCATGATAAATTCACAGGCTTAGAAATCATATTGACATTTTGTCAAAGCAAGCCATGTGAAGATAATTAAATATTAGTACTAACTTTTCCAGCAAAACATACAAGAACTCCTTTAACTCAGTAAAAAAAAAAAAAAAAACACTCATAAAAAACTACTGAAAGTTTATTATCAATAAATGAAAAAATTATCCTCAACCTGATAGATCCTCTAACTGAATAACATAATTAAGTAGATTTACCTGAAAAATTTGCAAAACATTTGACTAGCAATTTTTGTTTGCTCGATTAACTGCTACATTCTCATTGTTTAGTATGAAGTAGGCATTCACTGTTTGTTTTAAAATGTATGAAATAGAAATCAATAAAAGTAAATCAACTGTCATGGGTCCTGGAGGTTCTGAACTACACACAGCCAGGAATAAGGCCCTGGCACTGCACTCCAGGGGTGCATTCTATCTAGCTTCACAGAGGATCCAAATTCTGCCCAGCCCAGAAACTTAGCAAACACATCTCGGTAAGCCCTGACCAGCTTCACTGATCACAGAGGTACCAAGCCCAGCTCAGCCCAGAGAAATAGAGCCACCCATCAGAGATGATAATGGATCTTGGAGAATTGGAGCTCTGTCTGTCACAGCCCAGCTTCATAGTTCAGTGGTGTAGCCTAGCTAGTCACTCTATAGGTCCCAGAGGTTCTGAACTTTGCCCAGACAGGAGCAAGGTCCTGGAACTCTACACTGGGAACCCATTCGGGCTACCTGCATGCTCCAGAGGCTCTGAACTCCTTCCAGCCAGAGGCAAAATATAGGCTGTGCCATACTCAGGGTTTTGCTCTGCCTAGCTACTTGGGTCCTGGATGTTTTGAACTCCACACAACCAGGCACTAGGCCATGGTGAAACTCTGAGGATGCATCCCTACTACCTACCTGGGTGCCAGAGGTTCTCAACTCCACTCAACCGGTTGTAGACCACTACAACATATTCCTGGAGTGTGTCCCTGCCAGAAGCAAGAAGATCCAACATCTGCTTAGCCCAAGATCCCAGAACAACCCAGCACAGTACATCAGGGGAACACTTGGCCAGCCTCACAGGACACAGAGCACAAGGATCTGGTGCCACAGATCAGCAGTGTGCCCCAGCTAGCTATGGAGATATTGGGGGATTAAAACTCTCCCCAGTGCAGCACTTCAGTGCAATCCATAAGAAGTATGCCTGACCAGTCAAATGGATCTCAGAGGAAAATGACAAAACTAAAGAGCAAGAGGCAGTCTCAGTCCTCCAGCCCACTGAGAAGAAATCCAAGGGACACTGAAATGGAAGACATCAAATATTGCACAACTGAACTTGATGAAATTATAGCAAATAAACTCCATGAAATTAAAGAGGAAATCAGCTCAGAAATAACATCTCAGGAAAAAATGAAATGACAAACATTATGAAAGAAATGTTGTACATATCTAAGGAAGATCTAGATTTAAAAAATAGTAGAACAAAGCAAAATGATGAAATCTTTGAATGAAAAATGTAAAACACAATTAGAATGCATTAAACAGATTCAAATGGATATTGCAAAATTAAAAAATTCTATTGAAAGCTGGCAAAGCCACTTAAATGAAGCTGAAGATAGACTCAGATCTTAGAGATATGATGGAAAATTATAACCACAAAGGAAAAAATCCTTTAAAACTAACAAGGAACCAGGAAACAATTCAATAGCTGCAAGATGATGCAAAGAGAAACAATATAAGACTTATAGATGTCAACGAAAAAGCAGGAGTCAAAACAAGCAACCTGCAAAGACTTTTTGAAGTAATAATAACAGAAAATTTTCCAAACATGGGAAGGGAATCTGATATGCAGATAAGTGAATCATATAGAACCCCAATTAAACATAACAAAAATAAATCTTCACCCAGACATACAATGATTAGGATATCAGAAACTCAGCACAACAACAGAATACTAACATTGTCACAGAAAAGAAACAGATCACCTATGAAGAAACTCTAGCAGAACAGCAGCAGACTTCTCAACACAAACCTTCAAGTCAAGAAGAGCTTGGAGTGAAGTATTTCAGATAACCAAATAAAACAAGTTTCAACCAAGATTGATGTATCCTACAAAATTATCTTTGAAAGTAGATGGAGAGGAGCCAAAGATTTAGCTCAGTGGCATAAGTGTCTGCCTGATCATGAGTTCGATCCCTGGTACCAAAAAAAAAAAAAAAAAAAAAGGAGAAGTAAGATACTTTCAGCATAAAGAACAACAAAAGAAGCTCATGAACACAAATCAACATTACAAAGACTACTTGGGGTCACTCTACAGAAAGACAAAGATAACTGCAATCCCAAGAACAACAGCAAAGGAAATCAATAAGCAGGGCAAAAAATTAAACAGAAAATGGAGATAACCAAAAACAGAAGATAATATGATAGTGATAAATCAGTACTTATAAGTTATATCAATCAAATTAAGTAATCTCAATGCACAAATAAAAAGAAACAGACTGCCAGAGTGGATTAAGAAACAAAATCCAACAACATGCTGTATACAAGAAACACATTTAACTCATAAGGAAATTAACAGACTTAAAGTCAAAGGATGGAAAACAGGAATAAATGCAACTCAAATCCAGAAAAAAACAAGGGTAACTGTTTTGTTTGCAGACAATGTGTACTTCAACCAAGAATGATCCAAAGAGATAAAGAAAGTCACTACATTCTTGTTAAGGAGAAAATTCAAGAGGAAGAGATAACAGTCATGAATATATATGCACCAAATATGGGAACATAGAGCTATTTAAGTCAAATTTTAATAGACTTGAAAAACCAAATAATAATAATACAGTTATAACAGGGGGCCTTAACACCACATTCTCACAAAAAGACAGATCAAACAAGCAAAAAATCAACAAAGAAATAACAGAACTAAATCAAACTTATGAAAAAAATTTACCTAGTAGCTGGGTACAGTGTTTTATGCAGCAACATCAGAATAAACATTCTTCTAAAGTGTACATGGGTCATTCTCTAAAATAGATCATATATTAACTCAAAGAACATGCTTAAGTAAATGCAAAGGAATTGAAAAATTCCATGCACACTATCTGACCATAATGCAAGAAAATTAGAAATTAAAAACAGAAACAACATAAGAATCCAATAAAATACGGATACTAAATGACACTCTATCCTCAACAACCAATGGGTCACAGAAGAAACTAAAGAAAAATTAAACTACATATAGAATGGAATGAAAAAGCAAATACAAGGGCTGGGGATTTAGCTCAGTGGCATAAGCACCTGCCTTGCAAGCAAGCAGTAGTGAGTTCGATCCCTGGTACCAATAAAAAGGAAAAAGACAAAAAAAAAAAAAAAAAAAAAAAAGAAAGAAAGAAAAAGCAAATACAAATTAGCAGAACCTATGAGACACAATGAAAGCAGTCTTCAAAGGGAATTGTATAGCACTAAACTCCTACATTAGGAAAATGGAAAGAACAATAATAATCAACTTAACACTACACCTCAAACTTATAGAAAAAGAAGAGTAAGTCAAGTCCAAAGCCCAAAGAAAGCAGGAAAATATGAATGATCAGAGCAGAAAGTAATGCACGTGAAACTAAGAAAACAATGCAATGAATTAACAAATCAACAAGTTGATTCTTTGAAAGAATAAATAAAATTGATTAATCCCTAGCCCACCTTACCAAAAAGAGGAAAGAAAAAAAACTCAAATACATGCAATAAAAAGTGAAAAGGGGGAAATCACTACAGACTGCAGAACTAAAGAAGACCATCAAAACCTACTTCAAAAACCTTTACTCACATAGGTTCAATAACACATAAGAAATGGAGAAATTCCTAGAAACACATGAATTTCGAAAGCTGAATCAAGAAGATGTAGAATTGCTGAATGAACCAACTTCAGTTAATAAAATACAAATGTAATTCAAATGCTAACAACAAAGAAAAGTCAAGTTCCTGACAGATTTACTGTAGAAAGACAAAGATGTCCATTATCACCACATAGTTCTGGAAGCATTAGCCAGAGCAATTAGACAAGAAAGAGAAATAAAAGGAATAAGGATATGAAAAGAAGGAGTTAAATTATCATTATTTGCAGATGACATGATACTCTACATAGAAGACACCCCAAACTCCATCGAAAGACTCCTAAACATAAGAATTAATTCAGTATTGTAGCTGGATAGAAAGTTAACATTCAAAAATCAATAGCATGCCTGTACACAAACAACAGGTTCACTGAGAGAGAAATAAGACAAACTACACCATTTATTATAACATGTAAAAAACCGAAATACTTAGGAGTCAATCTAACAAAGGAAATAAAAATGTATACAGTGAAAATTGCATCACTTTGAAAAACGAAATTGAAGAGGATTTCAGAAAATGGAAAGACATGCCCTGTTAATGGAAAGGAGGAGCAAACATTAAGAAAAAAGGTCATTTCTTCAAAATTGTTACATAGTTTGAATGCAATTCCAATCAAAATAACACTAGCATACCTAACAGATCTAGAAAAATTGTGGCTAAAATTCATCTGGAACCAGAAGAGACCTAGAACAGAAAAGGCAATTCTGGGCAACAAAGGAAGCCAGGAGGCATCATGGTCCATAACCTGAAATTATATTACAAAGCTACTGTTACAAAATCAGCATGGTATTGGAATAAAGACAAACTGAAGATCAATGGAGTACATTAGAACATACAGCAACAATTACAAACATACTCAGCCTTCTCATATTTGACAAATGGACCAAACACATTCAGTGTAAGGACAATAACCTCTTTAATAAGTGGTGCTGCCAAAACTGGCTCTTCATATGTCAAAAACTAAAACTAGATCCATGTCTATTACCATGCATTAAACAAAACTGCAAGTGGATCAAAATATTACAACAGACATACTAAATCTACTGGAAGACAAAATAAGTAGAAATCTTAATAACATAGCAGTAGGCAGAGAGTTCACAAACAAGACTTAAACATGGGAAACACTTCCCATAAACAACAACTGGGATCTCGTCTTATGGAAAATTTTTTTCCATGTCAAAAGAAATGTCCAGCATAGTGAAAAGAAAACCCACAAACTGGGAAAATACCTATTATCTAGAACTTATAAAGAATTTTTAACAAATCAGGTCCCCAAAATTCAAGGACTCAGTACAAAAATGGGCAAATGAAATGAGTACACAATTCTCAGATGAAGAAATACAAAAGACAAATACATGGAAAAAATGTTCAACATCAATGATCATTCAGGAAATACAAATTAAAATAACAGTGAGATTCCATCTCACTCCAGAAAGAATGGCCAAGTTCAAGAAACAACCAACAACAAATGGTGGAGTGAATGTTAGGAGAAAGGAACCTTTCTCCACTGTTGGTGGAGTGTAGACTCATGCAACTAGTGTGGAAATCAGTATGGAGCTTCTTCAAAAAGCCATGATTAGAGATTCCATTTGATCCAGCTATCTTGCTACTGGGATTTTTCTCAGAAGAATTAAAAATATTATATCACAGTGATATATGTGCACCCATGTGTATACCAGCACAATTTGTAATAGCCAAATCGTGGAAATAACCCAAGTGCTCATCAATTAAGGAATCAATAAAAAAGATGTGATATTTTTATACTCAGCTATAGAAAAGATTGCATACAGACTTTTATGAATAAATGAATGAGCGTTGAGACCACATTCAAAAGTGAAATAAATCAAACTCACATGTGTAAATACCATACTGTCTCCCTAGTATTAGAAACTGAAAAATTGCATGTGTTCCAACTGTGTAATGGTAAGAAACTGCTCAGAGGAAAAGTAATTATCATAACAGAAAGGAGAAAAAAGAAAAAGAAAAGGCATAACTTTGTGTGTGTGTGTGTGTGTGTATGTGTGTGTGTTTGATAGCTAAACTGACTATACTACTAATTGCATTGGTTATTAGAAAACAACAGCCAATACACAGTAATTTTATATCAGTTTTACATGTCTATACCTCTTAGTCTAAGCAACCCTCTTCAAGGCAACAACATACAATATTACATCCATTGTCAAATTCCTATCATCTTGCTTTGTTAAACTATTCTGTTATTGTACTTGCTTTATTGGTGTTAGTTTTTATTGCTTTTCTATGCTGTATCTTTTTAATCATAAATTTAAAAAAAGTAAAGCACAGCAAATTTTGAACACAGAGACAGTATACTACAAAATATCTTACCACTTATCCACTACCCTGCAAGTAATGAGCATTATCAAAGTACTTATAAAATAAACAAAACCAAAGAAAATCTATTAGTCTTTGCTGTGTCCATGTCTCTCTATAAATATTCCTCATTTGAAGTCTCAGGAGTCCCAAAAATGTTGTAAGCTGGAAATCAGTTCCAGCAAGGATGAACCAATTTTCTGTGAACTCACTACACTTTTAGTTTTTGCCTAAGAAAATATGTTATTTAATTATTTCTAGAACTAGAAGAACCATGTTACCTTTAGGTGTTTTTGCAGTAAATTCAGGGTCAAAACAAAAAGTATCATCTGGTTTTCCAGAAGCAGGCTTGAATGGAGGCTGAACTTCTCTTTTATATAATTTCTACACAAAGTACAGGGTAACATAAAAATATTCAACACATTAAAATTTTTTATGCAGGCTAAGCAACCCTGCTTCAAAAATCTGTATCCCAAAATGCTCCCAAATCTTCTTCTCTAATGTTTTTTCTTTTTAGTACTGATGACTGAATCCAGGGCCTTGCACATGCTATGTTAGCATTTTATCAATGAACTATAAATTCAGTTTCTCTTTTTTTCATTTTTGACTTTGGGATGGTCTCAGTAAGCTGTCCAGGATGTAATGAAACATGAATTCTGCCTCAGCCTCCCAAGTATCTAGGGTAACAGGTCTGTACCATCATGTCAACTAAAATCCAAAACTTTCTGAGAGTTAACATGATAGAAGAACTAGAAAATTCTACAATTGGTGTCACTAAAAGTATTGCATAAATTATGGATTTTGTATTTTGACATGGCTCCCATCTCCAAGACATTTCAAGTATATTATAATGTGCCAAACTTTAAAACAAAACATTCTGGTCCCAAGAATTTTAAGTAAGGAATATTCCACTTGTATTTTATAAAGGAAAGTAAAACATAATATTCACATTCTTTAACAGAGGTCTTATATTACATAAAATAAATTTCCATAGGATTCAGATACCTGCTGATCAAATTCCAAGAAAATGAAGAAATAACTTTCAAGACTTAGTGAGACTGGGAAACAAAATAATGAGGCCAAAAAGTGCATTTCAAAGAAATACAAGTGTTTAATTTTATATAACAACAAACGATTTGAGTACCCATGTTATAACAATATATATCACAAGATCATAATGCAGAAATAAATAATCATATTAATGATGCTAAAAATCATTACATTATATTCATGAAGTGAACATGTTATCTAAAATAGTATGCCTTTGTTGGAAATATATATTAAATGTACCATTTACTGCTTATATCATAGAAATGAAAATTTTCATTTTGTCTAAAAACGTAACTTGTTTAAATTTGTATACTTGAACGTAAATAGGTGGAATAAGATTTTGGCTAAGATTTTCTAATAATGTCTTCCCACAAAGGAATTACATCTAGTTTAAAAGTAATTCAATCACCAAAGCACAGTGGTATCTCAATTCATGAATGTTGTTGTTTGCAAACAATGTGGCTTGCAAATGCAATCATTTGGAAAAAAAGTTTTTGCTTGCAAACTTTGAGTTAGGTGACATAGAATCACAGTGCTGTTGCCAAACAAACACAAACGTAGCTATCTTTTCCAAAATCAAAGAATGAATTATTTTTATCCCCTGAAATAATACTGTATCTTCAAAGAGCTAAGAAAATCAGATGAATGCTCTGGGATATAGCTCAACGGCACAAACACCTGCCTGTTGAGTGTGAGTTCCTGAGTTAGAACCCAAGTAGAGAAAGAAAGAGAGAAAGAGAAAAAGAGAGAAAGAAAGAAAGAAAGAAAGAAAGAAAGAAAGAAAGAAAGAAAGAAAGAAATAAGGAAGGAAGGAAGGAAGGAAAACAAAGAAAATCAGGTGAAAATCAGTGCCTGCTCTGTACTAAAATACAAAGACCTCACTGAAAAAGTGTGAATGGAAGTTACAGGTCTGATAATTTAGCTCAGCAACACAAATGCCTGCCTAGCAATCACAAACTCCATAGTTTGAATCACAGTACCAAAAAAAGGAAAAAAGAAAGAAAGTTACATTTTGCTCACAATCAACTCAGCTTACTACTAATGACAGGCTGAAGGAGAAGGTATAAATAGGTATTTGAAGGTGTAGTTCCAGGAAGATGATAGAGTGTTCTTTTTTTTTTCTTCATATTTTAAAGAGATTAAGACAAAACAGGACATGATAAAGCAGATCAGAAAAGAACAATGTAAGTGACACAGTATTTCACCAAAAGACAACCAGTTATTAACAAGAACTACCATAATGTCTCTTTTTTTGAAATAGTTGAGAATAACTTCATATAAAATAGTATCAAACATAACAAAATAATATAAAACCATTCAAAAGAATGAAAGGATTATAGGGCATTCAGAACCAAATAACAGAAAGCGAACATTGGTGACTATTTTCTGATTTTCCGTAAACAAATTTGTTTATACTATCACACATAACACAATCCATAATACAATCCAAGGACAAAATCAATGGAAACAGAAGAACAAAAGCATGGTAGGACTTCAGAGTAAGATGATATTAAGTCACCACTGCATATTATAATGACTTGTTTTCTACAAAATAGCTGTTCATACCATCACAGATAATAAAATCCAACAAGCCAAGAAAACTCATTCCAACCAATGAATGCAATCATTATAAGGCTTCAAAGCAATATAATGGAGAATCATGATTACCATAAACTCTTATGTATACTTACCATTTCTTACACTAGGAAGACTATACAATATTGATATATGTAAGTTTCATTTATTTCACTTATGTCTATGGTCTCAAGTTGTGCCCTATTTATTTATAAATATCTCTGTGATCATTCTTTATAGCTGAGTAGTACACCACTGTATAAAAATACCACATCTTTTTATCTGTTCTTCAGATGATGGATAGTTAGGTTGCTTCCAAGATCTGGCTATTACAAATTGTGCTGCTATAAAAATGGGTACACACATATCACTGTGGTATGATGTTTTCAGTTCTGGGAATATGCCTAGAAGTGGAACAGCTGGGTCGAGTGGGACTTCCAATCTCTGCCTTTGAGGCGTCTCCAGACTGACCTCCTTAGTGGTTGTACCACTCTACATTCCCACCATCAGTGCAAGAGAGTTCCTTTTCCCCACAGCCTCTCCAGCATTTGTTGTTGGTAGTTTCTTGACCTTGCCATTCTTTCAGGAGTGAGATGGAATCTCAGTGTGGTTTTAATTTGCATTTCTCTAATGACTAATGATGATGACCGTATTTTCATGTATTTATTTGCCATTTGTATTTCTTCATCTGAGAACTGTGTATTCATTTCAGAAGTTTTGGATTGGGTCCTTGAATTCTGCAGGTTTCATTTTTTTTTTTAATTCTTTGTATGTTTCAGGCAGAAGTAGTTTGCTGATGAACAGTTCACTAAGATTTTTTTCCCAGTTTGTGGGTTTTCTTTTCACTATGCTGGAGATTTCTTTTGACATGCAGAAACTTTTTAATAAAACATTATCCCAGTAATTGATTCTGGGAATCAGTTCCTGTGCGGTTTGATTTCTGCTCATGATTTCTTTAACCCTATGTCTTCAACATTTTTACCCACTTTGTCTTCCAACAGATTAAGTGTTTCTGTTTTAATATTCAGATATTTGATCCATTCAAATTTTCGTTTAGTACATGGTAATATACATGGGTCTAGTTTTAGTTTTCAGCATATGGAGAGCCAGTTTTTCAGCATATGGATAGCCAGTTTTTCCAGCACCATTTGATATGACCCCTTTATCAAAGATAAGGTGGTTGAGTATGTTGGTAGCTGTGGCTGTATCTTCTAATCTATTCCATTGATCTTCAGCTCTGTTTTTATTCAACTACCATGTTGATTTTATTACAGTAGCTTTGTAGTATAACTTCAACTCAGGGATTCTGATGCCTCCTGCCTTGCTTTTGCTGCTTAGAACTGTCTTTGCTATTCTAGTGTCTTCTGGCTCCAGATAAATTTTAGGTGCTATTTCTCTAGATCTATGAGGTATGTTGATGGCATTTTCATTGGGATTGCATTAAATCTATATAACGGTTTTGGAAGAATGGCCATTTTCACAATATTTATTCTTTCTAACCATGAACAAGGGATGTTTTTCCATTTTCTTAGATTGTCTTCAATTTCTTTTCTTATATTTTCCAGGGTATTATAATTTTCCCTGTATAGCTATTTTCCTTCTTTCACGAGATTAATTCCTAAGTACTTCATTTTTTGGATACTAGTGTGAAGGGTGTGGCATCTCTTATTTCACTATCCATGATTTTGTTGTTAGTGTATAGAAATGCTACTGATTTTTTAGTATTGATTTTGTATGCAACTACATTGGTGAGTTTATTTACTATATCTAGGAGTCTTTCAATGGAGTGATGTCACCTGTAAATAATGAAAATTTAAATTCCTCTTTACTATTATTATCCCTTTTATTTCTCTCTCTTATCTAATTACTCTGATTAGTATTTCCAGTACTATGTTGAATAGGAGCAGTTAAGGGACATTCTTGTATTGTACCTGATTTTAAGGTAAAGGCCTCCAGTTTGTGGCCATTTTCTTTGATGCTGGTTGTTGGTTTGTCATAAGTGGGCTTTATCATATTGAAGTAAGCACCATCTAATCCAATTTTCTGTAAGGTTCTAATCATGAATGAGTGTTGGACCTTATCAAAAGCTTTTTTTTTTTGCATCTATAGAAATGATCATTGCATTCTTACTTTTGGCTTTATTGATATGGTAGATTGCATTTATTGACTTACATTATGTTGTACCATCCCTGAATGACTGGGATGAATCCCATTTGCTCATGGTGTATAATCTTCTTGATGATTTGCTGCATCCTGTTTGCCAATACTTTATTAAGGATTTTTGCATCTGTGTTCATTAGGGAGTTTGGCCTGCAGTTCTCTTTTTTAGTTTGGTCTTTCTCAGGTTTTGGTACTAGAGTAATATTGCGTCCCTTTCAATTTCATTGAAGAGTTTGAGGAGTGTCCGCATTAAGTCTTCTTTGTATTTCTTGTAGAATTCCACAGTGAATCCATCTGGGCCTGAGCTCCACTTTGTAGGTAAGGACTGAGTTACATTTCAATTTCATCAACAGAAATTGGGATATTCAGTAGTTTTACATATTCTTAAACCAGCTTTGGTAATTCTTACGTTTCTATGAACCTGTCCATTTCTTCTGTGTGATCGAACCTATGAGAGTAGAGATTTTGAAATAAGTGTTGTGATGATCTTTTGTATTTCCACAGAATTGTAGTGATTTCATTTTTTCCATTCCTTATTTATGAATTTGAGCTTTTTCTTTCCTTTTTTAATAAGGTTGGCTAGGGGCTTATCAATTTTA